AATTTTGGTTTTTGAGTTTTTGGTGAAATTTGGCAGTGTGGCACAGTAAATGGTGGTTATAGACTTCGCGCACCATACGAGTTTTATTGTTAGCATTAGTAATTAGTATTAGCGAATTCATTCATAAAAAATAATCGACGTGATTTCTCAGGCGTCATATCCATGTTTGCATTCACGGGGGGGGGTTTACATTTAACTCACGATGAAATATTAATTTTTATGCCGGATTGATATTTATTAATATCAATGTGTAAATTTATAATTATTTTATAAATAAACATGATAAATAATACAAGGAAAAATCATTATTATCATTCATTATTAATTGAAGTCTCAATTTTCTTTGGCTTTAAATTTTTAACTTTTCCGTCCATCCACCATCTAGTAGGTGACAATGCAATCTTTTAAATTCACCAAAAGCAGAAATTAATTATTTAAATAAAAAAATTTTTTTTTTTTTAAAAAAATATATGAAAATTTTACCCATCCAAGTCCGGAAGTAAGAAAGTCCAATATGAAATTATTTCCTGGTGATATTCCCCTCATTGAAGTTCTAAAAATATTTGTTATAAAATCTGATGTAATAAAAAACTCACCACGGCAAAGTCCTGTTTTAAAAAATAAAAGTAAAAATAAATAATTGTGAATAAATTCTTCTTTCTAAAATTTATAATAACAAGTTACCTTTATATAAAGCTTTAGCTGCTTGACTAGGTGATATTGGACTATCATCGCCTTCAATTTCCTTGGTCACCTTTGGTTTAATCTTATTCTAATAATCAAGAAGTCAGGGAAAATATTATTGCAATTAAAAACTAAAATACAAAAAAATGATGTACATACCTCTTCAACTAAACCAGGAGAATCTATCGTGCCGGGGAAATAACAATGAACACCAATATCATATAAAATCAATTCATTCCTTAAACAATCAGCCAATCCTTTAACCCAAAAATTAATTTATTTGTTGATTTTACATTCACTCTTTCCAAAATCAAAAACCAAAACCAAAATTTGATTGGTCGAACAAGCAAGTACATACCTCTAAGTGCGTGTTTGCTTGGACTATATTGAGAAAATCCTACAAATCCCATCAACCCAGCGCAACTACTAACAAAAATTATTTTTCCTTTAACACTTTGCTGAACCATTTTTTTAACAGCCTCCTTGAATTATATATATATATATGAGAAAACATTTAGACTGACAAATAAATGAATGAATAAATAAATATAATTGTAATGCTAATGGTAATTGATCATAATATATATTAATTACATGCGCAGTATATAGACTTCCAAAATAATTCAATTGCATACCAAATGTAAAATCTGAAATTGGTTGTTCTATAAACATGCCAGGTCTACAAGAACCTTATAAAAATAAAAATTAAAAAAAAACTCTATAAACATTATATATTACATTATTTACATACCAGCACAACAAAAAATAAAATCAGGAACTTTTCCATCATGTTTAGCAGATGCTTCATTAAGTGCACGAACTGATTCCTCATACTTGGTAAGATCTGCTGAAACAACATTGAATACCAACGATTCATAATCATTTCTATACTTGGCTACCTTTTTTTTTTAATTAATTAAAATAATAATAATAACAATAATAAGGAATTATTATGTTGTAAAAGAAAAAAAATTAAAGAAATTTTAAATAAACGCTTACACCTTTAATTTCTTCTAAAGCTATCTTTAAATCATCATATTCACGAGCAACTATCGTGACATGTGCACCTTTAGAAGCCAATAGTTTTGCAAGCTCTTTACCAAGTCCTCTACTACCACCTGTTATATATGCATGCTTTTTAAAATTAATAATAACAATAATACGAATTGCTTATTATTTTATAAAACTAAAAAAGTTAAGATATTAATATCGTAAAATGTTAAACATTAAACAGTGAGTACTACTACTACCTTTCCTTGAGGTAAAAATTTATTTCTACCAAAAAGTCTTGAATTCCCCATCAAGTAAAAAAAACTTATAAAAAATATTGCAATGATAATTGACTTAATTAAATACACGTTTTCAGGCGAATTGGAGAGGGATGGAAACAAAATAAAAATGTATTCGATGAAAGACCACATTTTTTTTTATATCCAAATTTTTTCAATATGCAGATCAAGATTATAAAAATTACAGGGGCGATTTTTTACCAACTATTAATATTAATATTAATACTAATACTTGCTCTGTTGCATGTGAAATTTGAAATATTATGGAGTGGGGTGCAATTCTGATTGGCTAATTTGAATTTCACGTACGTGAATTGCGAATTCACATAATTTCATTTTCACGTACAATAGTTCCGAGTATTTTCCTCTCATGCAAGACTGACATTTTTTATATTATTTGAATTAAAATATTATTTTTTTTTTCCATTGTTAATACATAGTAATAGAAAAATACTTTCTTACAAAAATAAAAAATGTCAACTATTGAAAAAAGCAAAAGAGGAGTTGAAAGATGCGAAGGAGGGTTGGAAAGTTTGAGGAGGGAGGAGGGGAGGGGAAGAAGCTGAGCGAGTTGGAGGATAAGTTTGAGGAGAAGTTGGAGAACGAATAATGAAAGAACGAAGGGGGGAGGATCAAGAGACAGATTAATCAAAGAAAAGAAATAGTTGAGGGAGGATAGAGACGATCGAGAAAAGAATTATTGGAAGAGTGAAAGAAACTACGTGAATTCAATGAAGAGAAAGGTAATGAACAAATTGCATAAAAAATTACACAAAAAATCAAAAAACCATTTTCGTTCTATTTGAGAGACATTTGGTATACCACTTACAACTTTAAATTCTTTTCATTTATTTTCTGTTGCTTGCTTCATATTGATCGACACTGTGAAATAAGATTAATTGGGGCATGCTTGCAACAAAACCAGACAAAGTGAAATGTTGAAAATTGCTCAACACCACAACTGTAATGCGATTGCTTCTTACCTGTGATTTGTTTTCATCTCATTCTTTGGATCATTCAATATCCTCCATGTAAGAAAATTAATCTAAAGTGTTGTATTCAATTTTATTATTAGGGCCTTTAACTTATTAGAGATTCTTATAGTCAGTGTCCTGCTTTTTTGTAGATAGTTTTCTTTTCTAAGGCATGAGATGCATTTGTGATTTTGAATGCCTCCACTAGGTTCGTATCTCATATTGAATCGCTGGATTAAGATATCACAGCTCCCTTTGATGAATATCCTTTTCTTTAACTTACTCTTTGATAAAGATAACAATATTTTTGTCTTGTTCAATTAATATTAACGTTAAATTATTTCACGTCGCCTTTAATATCTTATATTTATTATTATTGATTATGTCCTATAATCATCCGGATAAATTGATAAGAATATTAAGTATTATTATTTATATTATATTTATATTATCAATCTATGTAATTCGTATATAAGGACATCAATCTAAATCAATAAAGATAGCTTTTGTAATTTTACAATAATTAAATTACTTGATCGTTCAATATTAAACATAATCATAGTAGTTATTTGGATTATTACAATAAAACATTGAGTTGTTATTTGGCAAATAATATTTTATGTTTTATAACCCAGTAATAATAATATTAAGGGATTTACTTTAAAGAGTTTTGAATAAGAGAGTTTAAAGAATAAAAAATTATATATTCCAAGCATAAATTCCTGAAATTTCACCATAGATAACTTTGAATTTATTTGCAGTCCTTGTGAGAGTCCCTTTCATGTTGACACGTCTTCCAATCCTTGCCCTGACAAAAGGATTCACATTTTCATTACATGTCTTATTTGTTGCAATAGCTTGTATTTCTCCTATTCTAATAAAAGAGCAGAAACAAGATTAAAACAGAATCCTCTACCACGATTACTTTTCGGCAAAGATCTCCTATATTTGAAAATTTTTTAACAGTTTTAATAGCATTTCAAAATGTTTAGGATTGTCAAGAAAAAATTGTAAATTATTTACCATTTAGTTCTTATATTATCAGACTCAAAAACACCAACAAATAAAGGCATTGCTGTGTACATCTTTAACTCTTTCTCTGTTGTCATTTCTTGCAGATAAATCATTTTGTCTTTCCTATATAATAATACAAAATGTTAACATAATAGATAAACAGAAAATATAATTCATAAAATACATACATGAATTGATATTGACATCTAATTTTTTAATAGTATGATCATTATCTAAATTATTAGTTATTATCAAAATATTTTTGAACATTTCCTGGTGCAGATTAAGGTTTCTGGTCTAAAGTGTTTTCTCAAAGCCCAAACTAGTTTGGGCAATTTTGGCTACTAATAGAAGCAGTTTCGACCAGAAACCTTAAACCCTCTTCCAACATATACAATTTGAAAAATCTTGTGACAAGTTTTGAATTTCTTGATCTCTCAAACCACTTCCATCTAGACTTTCTTTTGTCAAATCTAATACCCCCCAATATGCAGGCCTAAAATACCAATTGAATAAAAAGTACAGTATTAATGAACATGGATTGATCTGCTTCAAAACAATGATGTTGAACTTATGTGAATGCTTGATGAGTTTTTGGTATTTTTTTTTGATAACTATGAAATGATTTGAATATATTTGAAACCAACAAGACTTTCTTTTGTCAAATCTAATACCCCCCAATATGCAGGCCTAAAATACCAATTGAATAAAAAGTACAGTATTAATGAACATGGATTGATCTGCTTCAAAACAATGATGTTGAACTTATGTGAATGCTTGATGAGTTTTTGGTATTTTTTTTTGATAACTATGAAATGATTTGAATATATTTGAAACCAACAAAGCCTATTGAGATATGATAATAAACTTACTGTATAAACATTCATTCATAAGACATTGATATCAAGTTTTACCTTGTCAGGTGAACCATTATAATCATCATTTCTAAGTGGTAATCCAACTTCTTCTAATTAATTTTTCTTTTTTGAAATAATCATATTTCAATTTTTTAATAATAATGATGACATAGCAAAAATCAGAAACATGAAAATTTTGCATGCATATTCTACAGGACCTAGGCTTACAAGCCATATATACTTATTATGTGTGATTTTGCATTATTGATTCTCTG